TGTGGCCATGAAGCACTGATTGTTTTCAGCAAAACTAGTTATTCATCAAGAAAAGAAACGCGTTACAGTAACGCCACATAATTTTACCATGAAAAAGGAACTAGTTACCAGTTCCGTTACCCTCCCCTGAAAAGTAACTCGTTGCCAAAAAATTTACTGAAAAAATTAGGTGTAATTAGTTACCGTAACGCGTTACTTTTACTTCATTACCACCCAACACTGCTTGTGTGTCATAAAAGAAGTCTTCATTTGAGAGCAATTGTACACTAACTATTCATCATGGCAGTTCTTAATTTGAGTCTGAGCCTAGTTTTGGTACTTCAAAACTAGAGCTCAACTCCAGCCCTCCCCTCAGCCATGTAAAACAAAAGTTCCTCTCAGATCCCCCTTATGCCTTCAGTAGGCCCTCAGTGAGTTATAGCACCTCATTTCCTATAAATCAGACACTGATTCTATGTATATATCATGGCAACCTTGCATATTTTCCTTCTGTTTTTATTCAGGATGAACCCTTGCCAAGTGTTAGAATTGTGAAATGATGAGCAATGGCTTGAAAATATTGGGATTTGAGAATACAATATTCATTTGGGATACAGGATTGTTATCAGTTATGCAAAGTGTGGGTTATCGTGTCATTGGCTTGGCAAAAAAAATTTAAAACCCATCCTCATGCAATCATTGCCAAAAAACATGAACCATCAAAGAGGAATTAAGCAATCTGAGTATTTGGTACATAAGCTCATTGCAGTTTGCCCTGAAATTGATTTGGGGATAGGATGAATATTCACTGAGAGAACTTCCCCAACAATTCAATTTAAATGGGGGGAAGGAGTCAGTACTTATCACTCAAAATTGTCAACCTGACAGATTTTATCAGTGCAACTTGAAATGGGAACTCTTGAAGCAAAAACCAAAAACAGGCAATGTTTCAAGGTCATAGGATGAGTGAATGCAGTGAAAACTAGTCAAACATCCAAGGAAAGGAGAAAGAGGGCAGCACCATTGATAATGGCAGTTTCCTTTTCCCCTCAAACCCCTTACTTTTTGACCATTGTTGAGAGTTGAACTGCAATGCTTTGCCATGGTAAAATCTCTTAAAGCAATTTCAAAAAGTTTTTTTTATTGACATAGGTTAATTTGGATGCTTGGAATGCATGAAGCTCATGCATGCATCCCAATCAGCCTAAATTGATGAGCCAATCACCATTTTGCTTCCCATTTCCCATTAACAAGATGTTGGCTGTGATGCAGGCTTTGGAATGCCTTTTTAGTTGAAATGACTCTTTCACAAACAGAATGAGATCAAGACATGCATGTATCCCGCCCTTTCCACGGAACCTGTCGTAAAGTATGTCTCAAGAAGTGTTTAATATCCAAAGAATTCATTTTTCCTTGAGTTGATCAATCCAAAATGAAACTTTTTTTTTTTTAAGCAGAAAGATAAAGCTTTCTTTTGCTGAAAGCTGCATGCAAATCAAGCAATATATCAAAAGTTGTAGTGGACATTTGTAAAATGCAGTGATACTAGCTCCCCACTACGTGCTGCTGCTTAGTCAAGGATCTAGCAATGCAAGCAATCCAATGCACTAGTAATCCATTATTTCCTTGCCAAAACATTCAATGTTGCACTGTGCTGTTGGTTGTTGTGCTTTTATAAGTAAAATCTCTTATAAATCTCAAAAATCAGTATAGAAAGAACTTTAAACAGTTGTTGAGTATCTTATGAAGCACTTAAAAATGCACTGAGGTTGTGAAGGAGTACACCTTTGGCACATCCTGCAGTGACATGTTAGTGAGTACATTAATGAATCTAATTGTCATTGTCCCTTATCTTACTTCAGAATTGGTCCATTTTCATGATTTGAGCAAGGGAGAGCTTAATATTTCATCTTTTTGACTGCCTAAGAAATATTTTTTTCCAAGTCAAAGATAATACTGGAAATATATCATCTTGTAATGTCAACTACCTAGCCCTGCCTGGAAATTTTGATCATGTCTTTATTTGAATGTACAGGAACCTGACAAGAGACTTCTTACTGAAATGATTTACACTCAAGACTACATGGGTATTGTTTACAACAGATTTAACTTCGAGAGTTTCAATGTATTAATCACATTTGAAAAATAAATACAAGTTGCTTTATGGAAAGTGTTTAATTGCATCAATGACAAAGTGAGACTGCTTATTTGAAATTCCTGAAAGGACATACTAAAATTTTTAATTGATAGAATTCATTTTCAGCATCTGGTGCTAATACGTTAAGCTTGAGTAGATGGTAGAGCCTGGATACAAAGTAGTTGGATGGATAGAAAATGCTGGTAGACCGTATACACAAATATAGGTTTTCCCGACTAAATTCGGCAGTGTAGTGTATTTCCGCCTCTCATTGCTCATATTCAATTTCGACGAATACTTCGGATTTCAGTCGACCAACTGCCCGAGCGCCGGGCAAAGGTCATTGAACACAATGGTCAATATTTCATTGATTGAGATTGTTTGTTATTTGTTGAAAATAAATAAAAAGGTTGCTTTGCCTAAGAGGGTCAGAACTTACGCCTCAACCTAATAGGACCTACCTATCTTTTACGACCATCTGGCATATGTGTTTATATCCAAAAGGGCTGATTTAAGCCGTCACATCACATAAAGGCGGAGAGTAACGAGTATAAGTTAAAGCTGCTTATGAAGCCTAAAGTCCTGCACCAGGTAATCTCCACTTTCTCTGGTGACTGAGCTTGGTAAGCAGAGAATGCATGAAGGAAGCGAATGTTCCTGTTAGAGTTGGATTCTGGGAATGGAGCACGTCATCTATGTATTACATGCACTGGCCTTCATCGACATCGAAATACGGAATTTTTAGTCTTTCTTGAGCCCCTCAAGAAAGACTAAAAATTCCGTATTGCTTGGAAAACAGATCTACGACCCCACAACCTTTTAACCAAAAGTACCCCTCCGTTTTGACATGCAGCTGGTTAAAGGGCAAAAGCGAAGAAACGTTTATCCATTCAAAAGAAGTCGAGAAGTCAGGAAGGGCATTCTGGTATATATAATTTAATCCTAGCCGTCATTACGCATTCTCCTCCTTTGACCTTGAAGAATGGCGAAACCATGCGAAGCATATCTGTGGGGCGCCTTCAAGAACTTTCGTAATGTCGAAGATGGCTCATTCCTGTTGAGTAACAATCAAGTTTCTTAAAGTATGGCCAGTGTCTGCATGTTTAGCCAACTGGCATATACGTATCCTTCCGCCGTATGTGCAAGGACCACTTCGTCAAACGCGACTTATTCTCAACCGGTTGTCAAATACAGCGAATTCCACAGGTGGGACATTCGCATATTTGCTTCAATCCAGGAGAAAATATTGAGCACCGACAGCAACTGAAATTAGGGTGCGGAAACAACTCAGCCGGACGGCTTTAGCTTACCTCGAGACGGCTTTTAATCCCGTGATGTCGGCTTTAAACTTGTCCTTGAGCCTGCACTTTTATAAAGGATAGCTTTAACTTTGGGCACAATTTGATTGGGCTTCTGCCGAGTATCGCCCGGAAAACTCATCTAGGGAGCTGTTGGTAGAGCTGCTTGTGCATCCTTGCTGTATAGATTTGATTGGTCTTGGTCACCCTCAACAAAAGCCCCCGAATCATGGCAGGACCTGGTACACCACGGCCTTCGAATCAGTGGGGTCCATCCTCGCGATGTGGACGCACAAACCATCGAGGACGATTTTACTTAGGATAAAAATAAAATATTAATATTATTATCTTAGGCTCTGAGGAGAAAGACCTTTTTTAGTTTCAGACAAGTATTGTCTGAGAGAGTGATCCTAAAAACGCTGCCTTCCTCCACTATCACTCCACTATCACTATCAGATTTTTCATCCTTTTATTTTGAATGGGTCCTTAGGGATATACAAATTGACAGTAATAACTAAGAAATTTTTTAATACTTGGAAAGGGACCATGTAAACCCATCAGTGTACTGCACCTCAGAAGACCTCCTACTGATATATAAAGGCCACTGTGGATTTGGCCAGAGCAAATCTATCTGATTCTTAGCAACCCTCACCCTCAACTTGAAACTTCACCTTTGCAACTCCCGCATCTAACCCTACTGGTTATCATATTAGGGCTGAAATGTGGACCATGGCAAACAGGTTGAGTGGAAAGCTCAGGTCTTTGGCTTCTGCCACTAGCAACATATATTGTCAACAATACATTGCCTCCTACCAGACTCGTTCAACACAATTGATGAGATTCTAAAACAGATAGGCCAACCACCACTTCCTTTTCTGATCCATCAATGATAATGGCTTGACCGCCTGCATCATGCAACCCTTACAGATTGATGACATAACTTGTCCGGTTCCTTTCCAAGAATGGTATAGGTGAACTTATGTGTACAAAAACTCATATTCAGTTGCTCCTCTGCCCATGCATATTAAAATTGTATGCTATGCGATGTAGTGTTGGTATTGCCATTAACCATATCCTACAGTACATACCGAATAACATTGCTGAATCCAGAATGAATGCCTGGTAATGGAGGCATGAAATAGTCATCTGATGGGAGACTCTTATGGGGCTATGCCATTAAAAAATAAAGTAAACCTTATCCTTACTTGCATGTAAAATAATGAGAGAAGAGTGGGTTTCAGAATTGCTTAATAACTTTGACAGTGTTAACCATTCAAGTCCCATGGAAATTTTCCGTAGCATATCAATGTCTGGCTTGAAAACATTTTCATCCATTTCTCATACGACTGCAAGAAGTTTTCAAAATGTAGCAAAAACTGGATGAAGTCTTTCAATGGTTATATTGACTTCTTAACCTGCTCTGATTACTTTATTGCTGAATGCAAAAAAAAAATTGTAGAGGTTTATTTTCAAATATTACACGGGACAATCCAGTCCTTCTGCAATGAGTAGTGAAGAAAGTAAATCGGGTTATACATTTTTTCATCACCCTATGCATTTTCTCAGGCTATTTTCTCCTTTCCCAGGAAGTTCTGTTTTCTTATGTGAGACAGAACCTCTGCGCTCATCTGGAGAAAGAATGGGGTTCTGCAGAGCTCATGGAGGATCTTCGCTTGCTCTGGATGCAGGTTGGCTTCTCACTTTTAATTATAAGACAAGTGTCATTGAATCAAGTCACATCGACCCTGGAGATTATGCTTGTCCTACTTCACTTGTTGCTCACGATAACTGAAGACTAGACAACAGAAGCCATCATATTTTTTTTTATGTGTATGCAAATATACCCGGTGAGGCAAAAAAAAAAGCACCACTCTTTGAAATCCTGTGGCGCTTCTGAAACAGCTGCTAACCCTACGCAGTTTCTTTCATGGGTACATCGGGAGAGGCACGTTGGCAAGAAACTCCTAGGCCAGAAATCACGTAGGGCGGAATGCAGAACACTCTTTGGGAGGAAACTACGTAGGAAAGAAAGCATTTAGCAGAGCTTCAAAATCCACTGAACAGACTCGCCTCAGCGTCTCAGATGAACCAGTTCATCACTGTTTTGTGAATCGGTCTCAATGAGAGGTCTACATTTCTTTGAACCCTTACCAGGAAATTCTTGGCGCATCACATCCTTTCGCAAAAAGTAGCATTTTCATTGCAGACGTAAGAGCTCTGGCGCAAGTTTGGTGCTCAATGCGTACCAATCACACACTCGCCGATACGTTTCTTCGCGTAAAAATAAAATTCGAGCTAAAATAAAATTCGTTATCACTCGTGTGTAAAATCGGCTGGAGAAAAATGAACAAGAATTTTAGGACGTTTAGAGAATACATAGAGGTCGTTGCAAATATATAATTTTCCTTGTTATCTGCTGTTTTTTTTTCCGCCTCACCTGGTATATGCAAGGTCCTGCGGTCCTGTGCTCTTAGTGTGTGCTCCCAAAAAGACATTCATGGTAAGAAAAAAAATAAATCACAGGTGTGAAGAAGCTCTCTTGAAGGCCATGCTTAGGAACTTACTTCAATCAATATTTTTAAAACCTTATAACGATTTAAACATATCCATCAAGTCTTCAAGAGCCTTCTGCCTAACATTCTCTGTATTGCTTTCATGTCCATCCTTGTGGATGGATGCCAGGCTGAAGAACAATGCTCTAAATATCAATCCAAACCAATGCTTTAAAATAAATATAGGATAGTTGCTACATTTCTGCCGATTCTACTACACTGTAGGTATTCCACAATCTTGTTCCACAAGTACCTATGGGAAAAACTAAGCAGTTATGACACTTAAGTACTCTCTTGCTTTCATTCAACAAATTATCCCCACTGAAGCTGATCAGATGCTTTCTGTTTTTAGGCCCAAAAAGTTATGCTTTCTACTTACTGTTGAACCTCATTAACCTCTGCAGTCCCAAGATTGTACAGGGTGGTCATAAAGTCTGGATACATAGGATCATATTAAGGATATATTAAGATAATGTAAAAATAAACTAATATAAATGTTCAAAATCTTCTCCCGTTGAATCAATACAGATTTCGTCTACATGTTCTACACGTAGTCAAAGACATTTTCCTCAGATCTGTAGGTTATCTGCAATGGAGAAACAAAATTATCTTCATATATCCAATGTTTCCAGACTTAATGGTCACCCTGTAGGTCTCATGAAGACTAAGTCCAACAGACCTTGAAAGACTGCAAATATTTCTGTAGATTATATTTCAGGCTGTTCAGTGTTTTTTTTTTCCAGTCCAATAGAAGACGATTAAGGGTATAACGATGAAGAATATTTGTGGAAGAGGCATGATTTGTATTTGAAATTATAAGTTCCCCCATGGGCTACACTCCAGTCCTATATATGAAGATCTTCCTCTTCTTGACTGTCCAGCACAAAAGCTTTCTTAATATCATCTGAAAAGTTTATATTACTATGCTACACTTAATTGCCTAAGTCATTAATACAAATGAGGGAAAGGGAGTCTCAGTTCAACATCAGACAAGTCTTTAAATTATTCTTAGCCCATGTCATAATCAAGCATGCATAAGATCTTACTCAAGATGTCTAAAGTTGCAGTCTTGAGTCTGCTTTGTAGAACACACCCTGAGTCCTACCTGTAAGACACTGAGAAGTAGCTGTTGATGGTTCTCATAGACTCACTGACAGGGCTTTCTGCCAGTTTTGGCATGAATGTTAATGGTAAATGAGCAGCTATGACGGTTCATGGCAGGCTGTACAATATGTGAATATGAGTCTGCACAGTGCTCATCACATTTTTCCCTGTTGTAGGCAGAAGCAGAGGGTAAGAGTGTGCCAGATCTGAAGTTGGAAGACAAAGAACATTTGAAGCTTTTCTTTATCTCTCTGGTCAATGAGGAGATGGATTCAGACCGAAAGACAACCAGCTTGAAACAACTTCAGGGGCATATGTGGAGGAAGGGCTATCAAGATGGACTCCTTCAGGCACAGTGCATACCTTCTTTCTTCATATTAACCCTTTGTTGCATGTTGTCACCATTTTTTTTTACCAAGTTTTTCTAGACAGTCCTCAAACTGAACAGCTTCCACTAGAACATGATGTTCTTTTTCTTAGACATCGTAACATGCAGATGAAAACCACAGCTGGTTTGCCTTGCCTATCTCTTGTCTTGTAATCCAAGACATTATTGGAAGACATGTCTCCAAGTGGATGCAATGCATCAAGAGTGAAGATGTTCTAATCAAAAAGCAAATATGAATGATGAATTGAGAGTTTTCTGCAGTGTCTATGCAGATGCAGCAGACTGCATGAGGAAATGGAAGTCTATGGGAATCGGGATTTTCATCTACTCATCTGGGAGTGAGGAGGCACAGAAGCTTCTTTTTCATTTTTCCAACCATGGAGACCTCCTTCCAGTCAGTAGTCTTTTCTTGGAGCCCCTCTTATTTTTCTTAATAATTACCTTTGAATCAATTGTTCTATTATTGCAGCTCATCAGTGATCACTTTGACACAAAAATTGGAGGCAAGAAAGAGGCAGCAAGCTATGTCAAAATCGCTCAAGAGATTGGGATGCAACCCAATCAGATCCTCTTCCTCACTGACATAATTCAAGGTGCTCAATCTATTTAAATCAAATTCCAACCTCTATGGGAGACCTTTCATAGAGGTTGAAATTTTATTCATCTTGATTATTTCACTGACTTTTTTTCTCTCACTTATTTGGACTTGCTTATAGAAGGTAAAGCAGCACAGGATGCAGGAATGGAAGTTATGATTTCCATCAGAGAGGGAAATGCACCCATTTCACTGGAGGATCAGTCTCATTTCACTTGTATCACTGACTTCTACCAAATCCAAGGCTACAAACCATACATTTTCCCTGTTCAATAAAAATTCTCATTCACCCATCCACAATCTGTAAGATAACTAAGCTTCCAGCAATAAAGTTTCCATTTTTATTGCTTCGGGTTTTTTTTTAACAATCTGAGAAAAAACATACACCTCTGTTCCATTGCAATAATTAATATAATAGGGATCGCACATGAATGCAAACAAAAAAAAAAAACAGGACGAAAGCTGCAAGAACAGCTTCCATAGAACTTCAATTGCATTGTCATCTATCTGTTGCTTCTTATTGGGAAAATAGTCTTTGGTCTCAGTGCACTCAGTTCATCAAGGTCTTCTCTTTTTCATCAAGTGGTAACTAGCATCTATGTGAAGAGGCACAGGAAAGAGACAATGCAGCTGCAGCTTGGAAGCGATGTATGTACAATTGTTACACAAAGAGTTAGTCACAAGAAATGAGTAAAGAGGCCTCAAGTATGATGCAGGGAGACCTTCATTTGTCTCTTTCTCCCTGCACCATCCATGGGAAAGATCACAGTTTATCTATGTCAAAGGCCCTTCCTAAAACGGAGGGCCTAATTCAAAGCCCTTCTCATAGTGTTTCTCTCTGATTTAGACTCTTGAAAAGCCAGCAAGCTTGAGCTTCCATCTGGGTTTGTCCTCCTGAAATTGTGCCAAAGAGGAAAAAGTGCTCACAGAGCAGCAAGAGTTGTGAATTTGACAGGTACTGGATTGCTTTGAGGTCAAATGCTTCCCCAAGTCTTTTTGTCTTATAAGTACTCATTCAGATTGGTTTTTTTTTTTTTTTAAAGTGGGTAGCTGTTGACGGGGACATAGAATCTAGTTGCGACTAGATTGACAGGGACACCTTCATGGGATATTTCATATGTTGCAGACTGGTACTCAACAGAATAGTAAAAATGGGCATGAAAATTTTCATCCAGATGAAAAATCTGAGCATTTCTGATACATTGTGGATTGTATTACTGGATGTAGGCTTGAAAGTAGAGATGTCCCATGACCCTGGTTCCATTTTGTATCATTCCACTGAGCAACTGCAACCTTGTTGATGTTGAGATCAATGAATCGATCTTCTCCTTAAACCTTCCCATGCCCTGCATGGGTCTCAGGTGCCGACTAAGACTCTCATCAGGTGTTCAAAGTCTTCTCCAAAAAAGTCAGGGGACTTGGTCTCTCTTGAAAGCACTTGTTCACCATTGGAGGGCACCGATTTGAGGACGTCTTCGGCACTCAAAGGCGTCAATTTCCACTCTGTCAAATCACAACCATTCATGTTCAACTCAATTTCTCCTGTTCCATTGGTTCCAGTCAGGTAGTGACCATGAAATTCCTGATAACCAGAGTTGTGTTGAAGAGGGTCCATATCCGCTTGACTGCTCAAACTTAAGACTGACCCCCAGTTGATGGTATTTGGACTTTTCTCTGTCTCAATAGTTGTCTTCAGGTTGCTAAAGTCTGTCTGGGAGCCAACTTGATGGTTGTGGACTTCCCTGTCCCCAGAACTGGAAACTGAGATTGGAAGTGAAGCACTGGGTTCCTGGATGATTGCAGCAGTTGCAGCTGAAGTGAGCGATGAGGATGAGGATGGAGGGGGGTCAAGGGTTAGACTTGAGGTCAACTGTTGAGCAGAGTGGAAGGAAGGACTTGGCCCATTTGGTGGTTTCATACCTTCCCTCTCCATTTCCCTTTCGATGTACTTGACTGTATTGCAAATGAGAACGGATCTGTGGAGACTTGTGTCGGGGAGCTGCCGGAAGCGATTGAGCTTACACATGGAGATGTGGAGGACCAACATCCGTTGTTGGACATACCCAGACTTCTGGGTTGTTTTCCTATAAGGCACTTCTCCCACAGAATAGGCTCCCAGTTCCAAATAAGATTTCCCGCCTTCTTCAAAGCGATTTTGCCGTGACCCACTCATTGCTGGATACGAGGGATAGTCCAGCCCATAAGAGCCAAATGAGGCACTGGAACTGTTGGTATTGTTCCAAGACTGTGATGAGGTAGTCCTCATCTTCTCATCATCTTCCTCATCTTCCTCATCTAAATCTTCCTCATCTTCTGAATCAGACTCCTCTTCATCTGAATCACTGGATTCATTCCCATTTGATATCCCATTCTGTCTTGGTGGTGGTGGTGGCGGTGGTGGTAGTGGTAGTGGAGGAGGTTGTGGTGATGGTGGTGGTGGTTGTTGGTGCTGTTGTTGCATCAGGTAGCTTCGCAACCCATTGAAGGACTTGTGGAAACCATTTGTCTTCCCATTTAGACTGTCGTGGTCTTTATTGTAGTCATGGAGTGGTTCTTGGTGATGATTGCTGACAACGTGATGGTTGTTGTTGCGGCAGGCTTTCTTGCTGGCTTCCAGTTCCTCACCCTCTTCCAGGCATTCCACCAGCTTCCGCTTCAGCACAGGTTCGGCACTTTGGAGACCCATCTCAGCTTCTCTTTCCTGCTAATGCATAAAAAAAGAAATGACATTCAGAATGTCCCCAATTTCACACAACATCACAGAATACATAAGCCGGGAACAAGAAAGAATCGATTGAGTTGGATATTTTATTTTTATTTTTAACTAAAACTATTCATCACACTTGGAAAATTTTCACAACCTCCTTAAATCGAAAAAAAAGCAATTTCAAAAATTCAGAGAATATTAGGGCCGCAAATATTGTATCCATGTTTTGCAATCCAATCAAGATCAGCAGAGGCCCAGTGTTGTCGCAGATAAAATTAGCATGGTATCTTCGAAATGGACTATTTTCCTTCAAAATAATTCCAAGTGTCCTCCACTTCCTCTCATTCCCATATGAATTTCCAGGAATGACGGGTCTTGCCTCTCTGATTTACAAATCGTCAAATGAATCGGAAGCTTTAAAAGGTAGATTCCCAACTTGAATCCAAACTTGTTAGGTCGAAATCTGACTAATCGCGAATCTTTTCTATTTCCCCAATTGCGATTATAGGATCATAGCATCACTGGAGTACAGCCCACAGACAGCAGTTCATGTGATCAAGTTGGTGAATTGATACCAATTAAGTTTAAATCTTTGGCTTGCCCATAATATCCATCCACCATGTCGTCCCAATTAATTTTTTTTTTCAGCATCGCCGAGTAACTGAAGTATTACATGGAGTGTATGATGTCTTAAGATGGAAAAAAGAAACCAATGCAAAGAATGTACCGGTAAAATATTATTTTCGCCCTACTTTGAAAAACTTCCGGTCCCATGTACCTATATTACGCGAAAAAGTAATCAACGTAGGTCAAAGGCCCCATTCCCAATGCAGTGCTGGATCGGCGATGATGTTGCTTTTGACTGCCTCGTTTCGCAATGCAGCTGCCTGGGAACCGAACTTGTATGTGTCGACAGAGAGGAACCTGGGAGCCTTTGATTCGGTGTTTCCGATTTACAGCGAGACAGGTAATCCTATCTCCTTCGTTTTTTTTATTTTTCCTATGTAAAGGTCGGAGATAGAACATTGTTGGTGTGACTGTCACGGCATCTTCATCTTGGACCCTTACAAGACCGGGAAGCCAAGAGTTAGATGGCGGAAAGGCGAGGTGTACAGTATATGAGTAAGGTGAAGTGGAAAGGAGCTGGAGCAGGGCCGTGTGTTTCGCGCCACTAATTCTCTTCCTTGCCTGCCTGCCTGCCTGGCTGGCTGGTGGCTGGTGGAGCCCAGCAGCCAGCCTCGGGCTACGAATTCTGCCGAGCTGCTTTGTCCCGGCGTAGAAAGGCCTTGCGCAGGGCCCACTTTCTCACCACTCTCGCCCCTATGTACACCGTACATAAGGCTGCTTTTCCCTCGCCTCGTTTCTAGCTCACGGAACTCGCACAGCTCCGAAAGAGGAGAGCCAGCGAGAGAAGGTAAAACCTGTCGTAAGCTACCAGGGATGCCAGATCCATAACTTTCTTTCCATTTTATGGAAGAAAAGGATGCAAAAACGAGGTAACATTCTTGTAGGGCAGGTGAGTATTAAAGACCCAGTCGGACCGCAACGGTGCGAAGGGAACGTGGTAATTACAACTCGTCTGCGTCTGTCATATCCCGATGAGCCAATAACTGGTTTCATAATTCGTCATCTTCATGTATAATAACCGGTGAACTTGACCGGTTGCCCCTCCTGGGGTTTTAAATCCTTAAAGATAGCATCCTGTCGCTTTCACTATTCCTAATTCCTCATAACCTACGTGGTGGTTTAGGCAGTTCTGCCGCTGCCTAAACCGAAGCTACACTTGAGCTTTTAAAATGATAGCACCCTGATGCAGACAGGCATAATTCGGATCTCGTGTCTGATGAGAAAGACATGAGTTTTTGAATGAATTATTCCGTGTACTCACTCTAACACTTATGATCCTGTGCAACGCGGTACGGGAGATTGAACTTATTTGCAACACTGAAAATACTAGACGAATTGTTTCGATCTAGTAACTATCACAAAATCGTATCCGCCATTTTCTGATATATCGAAATAATGTGAACGCAGGTAGCAGTGGAGAGCATGAACATCTCAGCAAATGCATTCCCCTATACTGGGAGCTTTGCTTATTCGTATCCACGGCAACGGCTAACTGCCCTCGTCCAAGTACATCTAGCTCTGGCCCATCACACTATCATTCATGTTCTTCCTTGCGTCTTCGAATACAATGTATTGAACGCCTTAAATTTATGACCCTTGAGACATACTAGAAACGCAGTACTTCGGAGTTTCTTCGAAATTAGTAGCCATGGATCTAACCCAGACATTTAAGTGCTCATCTATGACAGGATGAAGATTTATGATAGATCTTATGTGCTACGTAGACATTGTAGCGAGAATATAGGAAAGGCAGCAAAGAAAGATCTTGCATAGTAGGTGGAGCAAGATACGGTTGGGGGCCGGATTCGGAAGTGGGCGCCCTATTGATCAGATAACCCTGCTGCCATCTACCGGACTCCCATGTCCTCACTCCTGTCTACGGAACGGGCATGTCTCGCAATGACAGGACACCTTCCCATGATCCACTGAACTCTGTCTTCATTTTCATTCTGATTCCTGCATTTAAGACCTCGTGGTGTTTATCACATGT